TTTGAAAAAGTGGCATTTTTGTAAAGATTTCAAAAGTGTAACATTTTTGTAAAGTGGTACTTGAAAAATGGCATTTTTTGAAATTTATCAAAAAAAAAAAGAGTAAATCAAATGTGCTATTTTCCTTCACAACAAAATAAACCATTAAATCAATCATTTAAAATTTATAGCTTAATATGTTATAGATCAAAACAACTATCAATCAAACATAAATAAATATTCAAAATAAAACAATAAAATATATACAAAACTAGAAAACCTACTGAGCACATCCATACAAGTTATTAGCTAATATTAGTAAAAGTATTAATTAGTTAATTAAAATAATTTCCCTAATTGTTTTCTAGATTTGTTTTTTTAATATAATATAAATATTTAGAAAGAGACGTATAATTTGGATTATGGTTTCATCATCACACTGGTAAGCTTAGCGAGTGCGATTTTCGTTGCGTAAGCCACGCGCCAAAGTCGGAAGCTTTGTCTTTAAACCCCCGTCGTCTTCTCCGTCCATAACCCCTTTCCTCTCTCCTTCTTCTTCCCCCAAATCGTAACCCTAACCCTAACTCCGACAATGGCTAAACCAATTACGGAGGCGGAGCCTCCACCACCTGCACCTGACCCTAATTCCACCCACCCTCTTCCCGACTTCGATTCCATCTCGATCCCTCCGTTCGATCAATTTTACCATCCCGGCTCCGATCAGACTCCGATTGGTGAAATGATGTCCGATCTGGAGTTTCCTATTGACGCCGACGGTGAATTCGAGCTCACTTTCGACGGTATGGACGATCTCTACTTTCCCGCTGAGAACGAGTCGTTTCTCATCCCTGTGAATCAAGAGCAGTTTGGAGATTTCACTCCGGAGTCTGAAGGTTCTGGAATTTCTGGAGATTGTGTTCCTAAAGATGTCGATAAGAGTATTACTCGCTTACCCTCCACTTCGGGATGTTGTAACCGTGAACCTCCTAGGGATTCCGATGATCGATGCTCCGGTGCTGAGCCTGGTTTGGATCTACCGACTCCTTTGTCGTCTCAGGGCTCGGGTAATTGCGGTTCTGATGTCTCGGAAGCTACAAACGAATCCTCTCCTAAATCAGGAAACGTCGTTGTCGACCAGAAGGTTAAGGTTGAAGAAGCTGTTACCACATCTGTTACCAAGAGGAAGAAAGAGATCGAAGAAGATTTGAGTGATGAATCGAGGAACAGTAAGTACAGGAGATCGGGAGATGATGCAGATGCAAGTGCTGTTACCGGTGAAGAAGATGAGAAAAAGAAGGCGAGACTGATGAGAAACCGTGAAAGTGCGCAGCTTTCGAGACAGAGGAAGAAACATTACGTTGAGGAGCTTGAAGAGAAGGTTAGGAATATGCATTCTACTATAACGGATTTGAACGGGAAGATATCGTATTTCATGGCTGAGAATGCTACTTTAAGGCAGCAATTAGGTGGTAATGGAATGTGTCCGCCGCATCATCCACCGCCTTCGATGGGAATGTATCCGCCAATGGCTCCAATGCCTTATCCATGGATGCCTTGTCCACCTTATATGGTGAAGCAACAAGGGTCTCAAGTGCCTTTGATTCCCATTCCTAGGTTGAAACCACATAATATCCTTGGATCATCTAAGTCCAAGAAGTCGGAGAGTAAGAAGAGTGAAACTAAGACCAAGAAGGTCGCCAGTATTAGTTTTCTGGGTCTTCTGTTTTGTCTGTTTTTGTTTGGTGCATTGGCTCCAAGTGTGAACGTTAATTATGGAGGAATTAGTGGTGCCTTTTATGGGAACTATAGGTCTAATTACGTTACTGATCAGATTTATAACCAGCATAGGGATAGAGTTTTGGAAACATCTCGTAGTGTTGCTGGTACTGGGGTTACTAATAGTAATGGGATGCATGGCGGGAGAGATCCTGATCGAGGAACAGGAAAAAATGTATCTGCAACCGAGAGCTCTGTACCTCCTGGAAATGGTAGTGAGCCTCTAGTCGCATCACTCTTTGTTCCGAGGAATGACAAGCTTGTGAAGATAGATGGGAATTTGATAATTAATTCTATTTTGGCGAGTGAGAAAGCCGTGGCTTCGCGAAAGGCTTCTGAATCAAATGAGAGGAAAGCTGATTTAGTGATTCCTAAGGATCATTCCCCTGCACTGCCTCTACCTGATGTGGGAAGGACTGAGGATATGGCTAAGCATCTTTATAGATCTAAGACTGAAAAACAGAAAGCTCTCTCCTCTGGCTCTGCTGATACTCTGAAAGACCAATTCAAAACAAAAGCAGCCAATGGTGAAATGCAGCAATGGTTTCGTGAAGGTGTTGCAGGTAATCATGGGTTTCTAGTGTTCCTCTCTGAGCCCTTGACTTGATTATGTAGGAATGCATTGTAGGTATACTGTTCCTTATCATATCTTTGTTCGCACACATTAGAACAACTATGATAGTGAACTTGCCTTCAGTTAATATCTGGTCAAGATTAGAAGCATGACATATGGACCGATGCTTAAACACTAATAGGAAACTTGTGAAATAGTTTACTCGTAAAGATGGAAAAGAGTAGATCAAGTGTTTATTTCTCAAGTTTTCCAATACCTCTTTCTCTACAGAAGCTAGAAGCACAGTAGTTATCTTTCCGAGTTAAAAGATTTTCTGAATTTCTTGCTCAGTTTACAGTAACAGGTTTTTTTAATTGTTATTTGACTCTATTGTAGGGCCAATGTTCAGTTCCGGGATGTGCACTGAAGTGTTTCAGTTTGATGTCTCCTCAACCTCTGGAGTCATCATTCCTGCATCTTCAGCAACCAACGTCTCTGCTGAACATGGTAAAAACACCACAGACACAGACAAGCGCAAGAATAGAAGAATCCTTCGGGGAATCCCCATTCCACTCCCTGGATCCAATTTTAACCTCACTAAAGAGCACCAAAGAAACAGCTCTAGCAAAGAAATCAAGCCTGCATCATCAATGGTTGTGTCCGTGCTTGTTGATCCCAGAGAAGGTGGTGATGGAGTTATCGATGGGATGATTGGAGGACCAAAATCACTGTCCCGAGTTTTTGTTGTCGTGCTTCTGGACAGTGCAAAGTATGTAACATACTCATGCGTCCTACCTCGATCAGGAGCTCCTAATCTTGTGACCACTTAAAGACTTTTGAGGATTGAAACATTTTGCAGCAGTCTTCTCCTCTAGCTCTGTATGTAAAAGAATAAACAGTTGCCTGCTCTTTGGTATCAAGTTTTGTCCTTAGCTATTACTGTTGTCCGGTTTCGTTTCAGATGTAGAATCCGAATGCTGTAAC